GACTGCAACCAGGCCCCAGGGACTGAAGCAGCTGCCAGCGGCGCCCGAGCTCGTTTTCCCTGACGCCCAGACACCACTCCGGCAGCTCCTGCTGCCCCAGGAAGGCGCACACGACCCAGCCACGGCACGCACCGCGATACCGACCCAACGCACCGAAGACGACAGGTTCGGTGGGAAGGCGGCCACGCGGGGGTGGAAGAGCAAATGCGATCGCTGCCCTGGCATCGCCCCGCTGCTCGAGCGGAAGCGCGGGCAAAGGCCGTTGGGCACGTTCATCTTCCGCCCTGGCAAAGCCGATTGAGTATCTCCCAGCCAGGGCCTCCCGCCATTCAGCGACGGGGTCAGCGCTTTCTCGGGCATGCAATGGAACGCCACCTGGTTTTGCGAGCGCTGCCTGGTCGACCTGGAACGCGCGACCTACCGACGCGGTGCAGATACTGACTACTGACCAGGGACGACACGCAAGTGCACCCAAAAGCCCCGCCAAAGCGATCGCGACCCCCCCTCCCTGCTTCTCCCCGCGCAGAATCCGCCGCTGGCGAGGCCTCCCACCCCCGCGCGGGGCATCACCCATCTCGCGGATACAAAGGACCAGGACAGGATGACTCAGGCGCTCGCAGACCCGCTTGGGGCCTACAGGTACACCCGGGCCCGTGACCCAGACCAGGCCAGTAGAGGCCAGCCACCCCGGAAAGCCGAGAGGGCCCACATCGCCACGCGTTCAGCACGGCGCATCCAGGGCCGCGCCAAGCACCCCGATCACGACGGCGTTGTCGGTGCAGGAGGGGCCCGCCCCCGCGCGCACCGCTACCCACCCCGGCGAAGAGCCAGGCCCCGCGGGGGCAGAGATCGCCAGCCCCAAGACCGGGGGAGAACGCCTTCGCGGGGGCCCGACCACAGAAACCAGCCAGCGCATTCCTTAGAGCGATGGCGGAAGCCAGGTAGCGATCTTCAGTATCGCAGGCACCGCGGCACCCGATCGCGCGGCAGATCACGCGCCACGCCTGCCTCCGGCCCGAGCGAGGAAGGGCCCAGAGACAAACGGAGCAGCAGCCGATCAGAGACCTCCGACCACGCACCACCACCGGACCGCGGACGGCGGCGCGCCCGCGCCTGGGGAGTCGGGCCACGGACGTCAGACCCAGTCCAGTCCGACGCCCTCGCAGGCAGGAGGTCCCAATCCAAGCCTAGCGAGGGATACCCAGGTCAGGACAAGCCCCTCGGCCTACCCCCAGCAGACACTACCGCCGCCGTAGAAATCCTCACCGACCTCCCCGACCTGCCGCCACCCCTATGTCCCAGCCTAACCATTCGGCCAGTGGACATCTTTCAACCCAGCACGCCGATCAACCCGGACCCAAGGATAGGAAAGGCGGACCACACCGTCGCCCTCGCGACGGTCCGGCACGCCCGGGCTCTGCACGACAACATCGACAGAGCCTGGCGGCAGTGGACCGACGAGCTGCAGCAGCGGCAATCGCACCCAGGCGGACCGCGCAGCACCCCGATGGGGCCCCCGGGCGTGGACAGAGGACGACTGCGAGGGCTCCCTGAGCAGCGCATACGGGCCAACGATCCCGGACAACGGAATCACCTGGCAGCTTACCTCATCAGGCAGAAGGGGCGCTCAGCAAAGCGGGAAGGATTACCTGGCTGAGCATGACCTCCTTCCTACTGCAGAACGACCGCCCCCAGCTGCTTCAGGGCCTCGGCGAAGATCCCGACAAGCATGGACAGCACCACCTCATCAGCTCCCTTGCCTCACAGGGGACGCAGGACCTGAGGTCTCCACCGCGGGAACGCTACGCCCCTGGCGCCGCCGCCAACCCCGACACCAAGTCCAGTCACAACAAAAATAGGACAGTCTCCTTAGTGGTATCATTCTTGATATGATTAGCAGTATTATTGTTAGTATGATTCGTCTGCTTATTATGCTCATAATTATAGGCCCGCAGGCCGAGGGGCGTAGTTCTGCCCAGCCCGAGACCCCCGACGTGACCAACCCCCGACGCGATTAAACCCCCCAGGGAGGCCAGCGGCTCAGCAGGAGGCCCAGCAGCCGCAGGCTTCGGGGTCCGCTCCGGCAGCCTCGCAACTCGCGCCCCCCCGCCCTAGCGAAGCAGACTGCTCACCCACACCGTCGCCCCGCGCGCAGTCTCTGAGATCGATTTCTCGCCCGACGCTGAGACCAGGGGTCAGGGCCCGCAAGCAAGCCCCAGCAGCGAGCCTCACCCTGACCTTCACTCCCAGGCAGCGACCAGCAGCCCCGACTCCGAGCACGCCCATCAGCCAGCCCCCCAGCTCCCACGGCAAGATCAGGCTGCGGATGCCGAAACCGCTGGAGAGGTGGAGGCTAGCAAGCCCAGCCGCGGCGACCACCGTACCGACCCACTTGCAGAAAGGGGCACAGGGGACGAACCCGACGAAGGCCGAGCACGCAAGACACCCAGGACGTCCGAGCAAGGGCACGGTCGCCCCCAGCAGGCCGAGACGGTGCACGCCAACCCCAGGGCCGGCTATCGAGGGGGAGGTAATTCCCCCGCTGCTGCGCGCCCAGACCGCGCCAACCCAGAAGCGCCCCAGCGACGTGAAACCCCGCAGCTCGACCCTGGATACACTTGCCACCACGACCCCCAAGACGCGCTCTACATCAAGCCTCGTCGGGTGATCAACTGGTACCGCACATGGAACTACAGAACCAACCTCCAGGATACATGGCCGGAGGTCGTCAACAGGCTGAAGAAGGACCGTGGCGCCACGTTCGTTGCAGGCTGGAGCGTTCTCTACGACGCCGCGGACCACCGACCTGGAAGGGGCACCTACGACCCACGCGGGCACGACGTCTTCTGTCGGGACCTGCTGCTCCAGATGCAACAGTTCGACATCCGCGGTATCTGCAGAGCCCGAGGTGCCCACGTTGACTGGAACGCCGTCTGAGAAAGCAGCCGCGGCGAAATGAGCTGCATCGAGAGGACAAGGGCAAGGGGGAAGGTCAAGAAACGGCCAGGACACGCAAGAGGCGCGCGGACCCCACCTGGCCCAACCACGACCAACCCAGGCAGCGCCTTCCCGACACGACAGGCCTGCCATTTCTCTGAGACCCAGCGCCTGGCCCGTACCTGTGCGAGCCGTTCCCATAGGCGGCGGCGCCAGGGCCCTGCCGCGCCCTCTGCCCCACCGCAGACACGGGTCCTCCTGCGCGCCTGGCCACGAGAGGCGCCAGGCGCCCCGGCATCACCTCCCCATCGACTCCAGCAACCTCTGAGCCACAAGGCGGACCTTGTCGCCACGCGCCAACCACCCCAGCGGCGCGCGGCCCCCTTGCTCCCTGGCCGCGCGCTGCCCACCCCGTCAGCGCGCGGCCCCCTCGGCCTCGGCTGATTCAGCTCAAATGCGCCTGCACCGATTAGGTGCCCCTGACTTGGTCCACGCTGTCATCCCGGCAGTGCGGGCCTCTCGGCCTCGGCCCCGATTTTGACAAGCCTGGCGACATGACCGCACACTGTCAACCCCGGCAGCGAGCGGCCTCCTGGCCTCAGCTGACCCTCGCTTCCGTTGCACCGATTAGGTCCCGCCAGTCTTGGCCTGCACTGTCCACCCCCGCAGCGCCCGGCCCTGCGGCCTCGGCCACAGTTCTGTTACTGGCACGTCCTTTCCCTCTCCTTGGCTGGCAGCCCTAGGTGCGCCGCAGCAGCCATGGCCTGCCTTCCAGGGCAGCGCAGGCGCCCGCAGCAGCACAGTGCGCGGGCAAGCCGCCCTCCGGCGCTGGCGCCGGCTCTGCCGCCCCGCCTGCTGAGATCACCCCACAGGCGGGGCGCTGCTCCTCCCCGCCCTCTCCCCCCACTCCCCCTCTTATCGGTTTCCTTCCCTCCCTCGCGCGCCACCACGGCGCTCGCGGAGCTGCCGCCGCTGGCAGCCCCCCCTCACGGCCCGGCACCCGGGCTTGGTCTTGCCGCCCGGCCCCCTCCGCAGGCCCAGCCTTTTGATGGCGGCAGCCACACCATGACTGCACATGCACTCGCCGTACCTTGTCACTTGCCACCCACCTGCGCGGCCTACGGCCTTCGCCCGTTGACCTAGTACTTTGTGCTTCGCATACGTGCTGCACCCGCAGCGGGCCCCGTCTGCGCCCGCGGGTGCCCCGGCGCCGCGGCCCAGCAGCTGCCATGGCCCCCGCCGGCGGGGCTGGCCGCGCCAGCATACTCAGGTGCAGAATCGTCCGCCCCTGAGTGGCCTGTGCTTTCTCCCCCCCCGCGGCCGCCCTCCTCGCCTTTTCCCTCTCTCGCACGCTGGCTACTTCGCTTTTCGGTGCCCCCGTCCACCTCCTTCGCTGGCGCAGCCAAATCTGCCTCGCCGCCGACGGTAAAAGTTGTCAGCCTCCGGGGGCCGCTTGCGGGCCCCAGGGCCGCCAAAAAACGGACCCAAGATGAGAAGCCACCCCCGGGGAAGTCCCCCAGACGACTTTTCGACGACCCGCAACAGTTGCATTACCTTTGCCAGGGGGGCGCAGGAGAGGCCTCCGGACCTCCGGGGGCCGACGTCGTGAGAAATCACGACGCTGGATCTTTGGGCAAAATCGTGACTTTCGGGGGGACCCACAATGAACCCGAAAAAACCATCGGACCGTTGAAGAAGGTCTGTTTACTTTTGGAAAAAAAGTCTCGGTCGTTTCTTACGTTTGCGTGCGTTGCGTGTTTTGTGGTGGCTATTTCATGGACCGATTTGGAAAAAACGAGGCTTCGTTCTTCCTTAATTATCGTTCGTTTGGTCAGCGGCCCCATTGTACTCCGTTGAGTGTCACGGCTGGTTGCGCACAGTTGGAGGCCATGCGGAAAAAAAACCCGCTTCCCTGCAGGGCACCCTGGGCTTCGGCTTCTTGTGGGCGCCCAGGCTTTTCATTGTGAGAAACCCGAAGGTTCTTCCCATACCTGAGATCGATAGAAATCTTATGATTTTAGATTTGACTTCTTTGCGGAAGGTTTCTTGTGGCCGAGCTCCTCCTGTGTTTTTTTCCTCCCCGACGTTTCGCTTTTGTTCGCGACTTAGGCCTGTGGGACTCTCGACCATTTCTCTAGAGGTGGCTTTTCGCCCTGAGCCGTTTTTCTGTTGCGTGCCCCTGGACTGGGAAATGGCGTCCCGGGGGGCGAAGAGGGCGAAAGACCGTCCGTGGCGACTTTTCTGCGTCGCCCGGATCCACGGGCAATAAGAGCAGTTCTTGCTCAAGCAGGTTTGGTTCAGCCACTTTTGATCCTGACAGGGCGTGCTCTTTGTAATCGCCGGGTCGGCTGTCGCATTATAGGCTGTTCAAGTGACGGAGCAGGGGGTCTCTCTACTCATCGGACTGGACTATGCTCCAGCCGGACAGGATAGACAGGAACGTTGTCAACGATTTCTATGCCAGCATTGACACGAACAGGCCAGGAGGTGTAGAAGAGTTTGTCAAGTTGCAGCGCGAGGACTACCACCTCTTGATTGGTATCACAAAGCAGAGCGTTCTCTTGGCGGCACGAGGGATCGGATTTCCGCATAATTATAGTCGTAGAGCTGCGTTTCAGGCACGTGGCCAGACAGATTGGATCACTCCGCTGCATGGCGATGACCTGACTGGTTACGATTTTGCAGAACAGATCAAGATGTGGATGAGAGACAGCGGGAATGAGGCATGGTCCTTGGCAGAAGTTTGGCTTCCCAGAAGGAACAGTGGTGTTGGAACGGCTGCTTTATTCGAGACGCTTCGCTGTCACCGCCCGCCCATTACCGCTCTCGCCAGAAGAGACGAAGACAGCGCCAAGACAAGATAGCAATGTTCAGAAAATCATTAGGTGAGATGTATTCCCAACCCTCCTTGGTTGGGTATTCGTTTTGAATAGAGCAGTGTGGTCTCCACTCCTTCCTTCCTTCCCGCCTCCCTCTTGCCTCCTCCTGTCTTGCCTGCGGGGGGCTGCGATCTGTGAAATTGTCGCCACTTTCGAGGCCTGCTGGGGGGCCCAGCACAGTGACGCCACGGGCGGATTCAAATTCGACCTCGCCATCCCTGGGGGGCTGCGATCTGCGAAATTGCCGCCACTTTCGAGGCCTGCTGGGGGGCCCAGCACAGTGACGCCACGGGCGGATTCAAATTCGACCTCGCCATCCCTGGGGGGCTGCGATATGTGAAACTGTCGCCACTTTCGAGGCCTGCTGGGGGGCCCAGCACAGTGACGCCACGGGCGGATTCAAATTAGACCTCGCCATCCCTGGGGGGCTGCGATCTGTGAAACTGTCGCCACTTTCGAGGCCTGCTGGGGGGCCCAGCACAGTGACGCCACGGGCGGATTCAAATTAGACCTCGCCATCCCTGGGGGGCTGCGATCTGTGAAACTGTCGCCACTTTCCTGTCGCCTTTCGAGGCCTGGGGGGCCCAGCACAGTGACGCCACGCGCGATTCAAATTAGACCTCGCCATCCCTGGGGGGCTGCGATCTGTGAAACTGTCGCCACTTTCGAGGCCTGCTGGGGGGCCCAGCACAGTGACGCCACGGGCGGATTCAAATTAGACCTCGCCATCCCTGGGGGGCTGCGATCTGTGAAACTGTCGCCACTTTCGAGGCCTGCTGGGGGGCCCAGCACAGTGACGCCACGGGCGGATTCAAATTAGACCTCGCCATCCCTGGGGGGCTGCGATCTGTGAAACTGTCGCCATTTTCGAGGCCTGCTGGGGGGCCCAGCACAGTGACGCCACGCGCGGATCCAAATTAGACCTCGCCATCCCTGGGGGGCTGCGATCTGCGAAACTGTCGCAACTTTCGAGGCCTGCTGGGGGGGCCCAGCACAGTGACGCCACGCGCGGACCCAAGTTAGACCTCGCCATCCCTGTGGGGCTGCGATCTGTGAAATTGTCACCATTTTCGAGGCCTGCTGGGGGGGGCCAGCACAGTGACGCCACGCGCGGACCCAAATTAGACCTCGCCATCCCTGGGGGGCTGCGATCTGCGAAACTGTCGCCATTTTCGAGAGGGCCTGATGGTGGGTCCTGCGGGGTGAGGCACCGCGCGGACCTGAGCGGGACCTTGCCGCCCCTGGGGGGCTGCGATCTGCGAAATTGTCGCCATTTTCGAGGGCTGCTGGTGGGTCCTGTGGGGTGAGGCACCGCGCGGACCTGAGCGGGACCTTGCCGTCCCTGGGGGGCTGCGATCTGCGAAATTGTCGCCATTTTCGAGGGCTGCTGGTGGGTCCAGCGGACTGAGGCACCGCGCGGGCTTGAGCGGGACCTCGCCGTCCCTGGGGGGCTGCGATTTGCGAAATGTCGCCATTTTCGAGGGCTGCTGGTGGGTCCTGCGGGGTGAGGCACCGCGCGGGCCTGAGCGGGACCTCGCCGTCCTGGGGGGGCTGCGATCTGCGAAACTGTCGCCACGTTCGAGGGTTGCTGGTGGGTCCTGCGGAGCGAAGCACCGCGCGGACCTGAGCGGGACCTCGCCGTCCCTGGGGGGCTGCGATCTGCGAAATTGTCGCCATGTTCGAGGGCTGCTGGTGGTTCCTGCGGAGTGAGGCACCGCGCGGGCCTGAGCGGGACCTCGCCTTCCCTGGGGGCTGCGATCTGCGAAACCGTCGCCAGTTTCGAGGAATGCTGGTGGGCCCTGCAGAGTGAGGCACCGCGCGGGCCTGAGCGGGACCTCGCCGTCCCTGGGGGGCTGCGATCTGCGAAACCGTCGCCACTTTCGAGGGCTGGTGGTGGGTCTTGCGGAGTGATGCACCGCGCGGACCTGAGCGGGACCTCGCCGTCCTTGGGGGGCTGCGATCTATGAAATTGTCGCCACATTCGAGGGCTGCTGGTGGGTCCTGCGGAGTGAGGCACCGCGCGGACCTGAGCGGGACCTCGCCGTCCTTGGGGGGGGGCTGCGATTTGCGAAACTGTCGCCATTTTCGAGGGCTGCTGGTGGGTCCTGCGGAGTGAGGCACCGCGCGGATCTGAGCGGGACCTCGCCGTCCCTGGGGGGCTGCGATATGCGAAATTGTCGCCACTTTCGAGGGCTGCTGGTGGGTCCAGCGGAGCGAGGCGCCAGGCATATCTGAGCGGGACATCGCAATCCTTGGGGGGTTGCGAGCCTCACGAATGCCGCTTGCAGAAGTATATGCGCCCATGTCACGTCATCACCTCCGTATAACGTCTCCCAAGCTACTCATGCCCCGTGTTGCGCAGGGGTTGGGTACGTCGCCAGGGTAATATGTTTCTTGCGCTCCATTTCTCCTCCATCCCATCGCCGATTGGACTCAGGTCTGCAGTGTGGCTGATAGATGTTAAATGTATCGATTGGTCGTCGGCCCGTCATCCTTACCAATGGATCAGTGATATAGACATTGCCTCTCTTACCCCTCGCTCCCTAGCCGCAGCAGGAAGCCAGAGATAGCCGAACCTCTGGCCCAGACCAGCCAAAGACGGCCCAAAAGACGCCCTCAAGGGCAGAAGAGGGCCCCGAGAAGGGCCCAGAAGGGGGCCAAGAAGCGCTCGAGGAGGCCCAGGGGAGCCCCTGGAAGGCCCAAGCGACAACGCCTCGACGTTGGCCCGCAACCCCGTCCGATCTTCATCAAAAACCTCAAAAACCGGGCTCGATCTGGGCCGTTTTGGGCTCCGCTTTGTTTCGGGGCCCAAGTTGGGCCGATAATCGTCCAAAATTGACCCCGGAGCGCGTCCAAAAAACGGCGTCGAAATTCGCATGTTGAAGAATACCCCAGGCGAGCCCGAAAGTCAGCTATAAGAGGCGTCTGGGGTGACCCCCCACGAGGCTACAACTACAATCAACAACAACTTAAGGGGTTTGCGGTATTGATGAAGTTTCCAGTTTGAACGCGTAGTTGGGCACAGGAGGCGTTCTTGAGGGCCCCCGGAGTCGGTTCTGAAGGTCCAGCATGGCCCCCAAAGGGGCCGAATTGGAGCCAAAATACATTTCGGAGGCGCCTCCAAGACGATCTGAGAATCGAGCTCGTCTTGGAAGCCGTCTTGGAGCTGTCTTGGGGACCGAAAAGGGGAATTGATGCAGCTCAACGGCGGAATGGCGGAGGCCTCTGGAGGGGGAAGGGCGGGCTAAAGCCTTGTAAGGAGCTCTCACTGTTCATTCTTACACTCCCCTCAGCCTGGTGGGCGGGCGGATTCCTCTCGCTTCGCGGGGTGCACGTCCGGAGCACGTACAGTCCAGTCGTTGCGGGGCCTCTTGAGAGCTTCTTTGTGGCCTCTTGGAGGTGTCTTGGGAGCTTCTTGGGGCCTCTTCTGCACCGGGCTTCTTTGGGGCCTCTTGGGGCCTCTTGCGAGCGTCTTGGGCCGTCTTGGGGCGCTCTTGCGGCGTGCGGCCCGTTCGGAAAGCCGGTCTGGGGGCCTCTCGCGGCCGTTTTGGGGCTGGCTTGGGATCCTCTTGAGTTGGGCCGTCTGAGGGCCCGCTTGGGCCGTCATTGAGGCCTTTGGGGGGCTTCTTGGGTCGTCTTGGGGCCATTTTGGAGGCTACTTGGGCCGTCATGGGCCTCTGAGAGTCGAAAAAGGCGAGATCGTTTCCGTGCCTGGGTAGTGGGAAAGAGTGGCGGTCCGTCCCGCCACCGTGCTTTGGTAGTGGGTCAGAGTCCTCAGGGATGCTCCTTAGGGTCTCTTCGGAGGGCTCTCGCGGGCCTCTGTGTGGCAGTTTGAGGCCTCTTGGAAGCCTCTAGGGGGCCTCTTGAGGGCTGCTTGGAGGCCTCCTGGGACTTATTGGGGGCTTCTTGGGGGCCTCTTGGGGCGCCTTTTGGGGGTCTCTTTGGGCTTCCTGGGGGCGTCTGCCGCTGTGCAAAAGTGCTCAAATATGTGTGTGATCGTTGGTTGGCGTGACCTGTTCGGCTGCCGCGCGTGCGTGCCGCTCCGTCTTGCCATCTCCTCAGCGTGGTGGGCGGGCGGATTCCTCTCGTTTCGCGGGGTGCACGTCCGGAGCACGTACAGTCCAGTCGTTGCGAGGCCTCTTGGGAGCTTCTTTGTGGCCTCTTGGAGGTGTCTTGGGAGCTTCTTGGGGCCTCTTCTGCACCGGGCTTCTTTGGGGCCTCTTGGGGCCTCTTGGGGGCGTCTTAGGCCGTTTTGGGGCGCTCTTGCGGCGTGAGGCCCGTCTGGGGGCCTCTCGCAGCCGTTTTGGGGCTTTCTTGGGGTCCTCTGGACTTGGGCCGTCTCAGGGCCCGCCTGGGCCGTCATGGAGGCCTTTGGGGGGTTTCTTGGGCCGTTTTGGGGCCATTTGGGAGGCTGCTTGGGCCGTCATGGGCCTCTGTGCCGGGGGCAGTGTTTATGCGAGAAGCGGCGCACAGCTCCCAGCGTGACGAAGCAGACGTCCTCTGCCCCGCCTGCTGGCGGGCAGATTTGGCGCCGCGCGGCGACCCTGACTGGTAATCGCCGCTGTGGAAAAGTGCTCCAATGTGGAAGGCGTGGGCGTTGGTTGGCGTGACCTGCTCGGCTGCCGCGCGTGCCTGCCGCTCCGCCCTGCAATCCCAGGGGCTTCTGGGCGGCCTCACGGGGAGCTCTTGGGAGCCTCTTGAAAGCCTCGTGGGGGCTTCTTGGAGCGTCGTTGGCGCCGTTTGGGGGCCTCTTGGGGCTTCTTGTTGACGTCTTGCGCCGCTTTGGGGAGGCCATCTTGGAGGTCTCTCGCGGCCACCTGAGGGCTCTCTTGGAGTCCTCCTGGGCCGTCTTGGAGGCCCCTTGGACCATCTGGGGGGCCTCTTTTGGCCGTCTCGGGGCC